CCACTGATCTATATAAAAACACTGTAGTGTTGCTATTTTTAGTACGTTATTTGCGCCTGGGTACGAGGCTGACCGCGACCTATGCATGCAACACGATCTCCACACGCTACAGTATTCTAACAAATTTACACACTTAAGTCAAGTATTTCAAAGAAAGTACCAAAGTGAATACCACTGTTCGGCTGTTTCAAAACAATTTGGTACTCAGGGGTGTCCATGCTTCAACAACTCTGAAGAGAACGAATCGATGTTTGCTGACAATACGTGTTTTTATTTTCGGCGTAGTGCCTAATGGCGGCAATTATGAGCGAACTCAAATATGGCTGCCAAGTTATCGTCAAATAATAGTGTGCTAAATCTTGCAATGTCGTCGTTCGGACTTTATATTTTACGGTGGCAAAGTCTGCCACTTCATAGCAAAAGAATTGACTTTAATTTAGCATTGGTTCATATTGAACATTTTCAGCTTGTAAATTTGACGAATTCCAAAGATTAAAAAAAAAACAACAAAACAATTCCCAGGAAGCAACACAACACCACGACAAAATTCATAGAAATGATCAACCATACAAGCGAGTTGTCAAGTCCCGTACAAAGTCGCAAGAATGCTAAACTAACAAAGGAAAGAAGTAAAACAATAGATACAACTACATCGGCCAATGTTTCAAACTCGAATTTCTCTGAATATCTTTTGTACGGCCTGAAAACTAGAGTTATGATAATGAAGGTGACGAGAAGCAAAGTTATGCTTAAAATTTGGTAAGAAGAGGTAGTTGGAACTATGCTTAAGAATGCGGCAAGTAGAAGACGACGACTGAGGAAAACAAGTCGGAAATATCGTCGGAATGGTGGCTTAAATTCTTCATACAACGGTTTCATCCAATTATCAATGTCTTGGGAAATAGTTTGACCTTCATGGTCTAAGTATTTGTACAACAATGGTGCAAAATAAAAAGAGGGATGCCAATGACAAACACAACCAAGGAAACATAACCCAAAATAAGCAACCAATTATGTGAAGTGCCATTACAATCAAGCCATGGTGCATTTTTTAAATAAGACAGCCCGTCACGGTGTTCACAAGAAAATATCGCATCAAAGGTTTTTGCGGTGATAGGAAAATACACAAGCAAAAGTATTTGAAGACTCCAACGTTTGCATCGGTGATTGGAATTTCGACCACAACATATCCTCCCGAAACAATGAAACAACCATATTAAAGATAACCCCGCGATCGGCATTAGCAAAATGACAGCAAAGCCAACCTCGGGACGGTTTTCAGTAGAAAAGCTACAAATAAATTCCGAGAAGTCGAAACTAAAAGCGTTTGTGATTTGGTTTTAAGAAGAACAATTTTTGTTGGCCAGATTTTCGCATCAGATAAGATCGCACCTAGGGACTGGAAGAAGAAGACCGATATGCTCCAAAAGCTTTTCAAGGTCCTGCCTGCGTCAGAAAGACCCAAGATCCATACTGCAAATATGAGCATAAAAAACCACCCCGGGATTATGGTCTTTGCATGCAAAACTATAAGTGCCAATGCAAATGCAAACAATAAAACAATGACCACCCGTTTTCTGCGGCGTCTTAAACAAATCATCAAAGAAATAGATATGACGAAGCATGCCAAGAAGGAGAGTAATAAAATGAATGGAAAATTTTTACGGAATTCTGGACAGCGGACACATAAAGAACCCTTTTTGTAGTAACCGTTAATACACTGTGAGCAAAACCTCCCCTTGTTGCCATGACGACAAACACATGACGAGTTACATGTCGTTTTCAGGTGGTGACCATTTACCAATTGTAGCCAACATTTGCAGTCTTCGGAGGGATTGCATATTTCATCATCAAACATTTCTTGTTGGGTGCATTTAACCAGTTTAGTCACATTGTCAAAATCGCCGCAGCATGGCCAGTAACCTTTGTTCATGTTCATCTTGATCTCACTTTGTTTGCTCGATGATGAAGTTTTTGTTTTATTCGTGGTTGCCTCTTTCATTTTGCATGAACCACCTTGCATACAGGGCTTGCAATATCTGCGGTAACCATAGTAACCTTTGGTACAAGAACATAAGAAGTAATCATAATATCCGGGATCCATTTCTACCCGTCTTCCCGAATTTGAAAGATGAACAGTCGGGCAAGAAAATGTATCTCTCTGTATCTTCACACTGTATGTCACTATCATGTTAATATTTGGGAAAGTGCCCTTACTTTTCAAGAACCGGTTTTGTCTGACATCGAGATATTTCAGAGATGTCAATGGAGGAAAAAAGTTCATGGGTAACTCACCAGTGAAGTTATTTGATGCAACAGCAAGATAAAACAAATATACCATATTAAATGCCTCATTTGTAAGGATACGACTAGTCAAGTTGTTGTTGCTGAGATCAATATACATAACTTGGTGAAAGTTAAAAAGTGAACTTGAAAGTCCACCTTTGAGTCCACAATTTCTTGCCAGGAGCATACGTAGACTACAAAAGCAAGGCTGTAATGCTTTCAACAGAGTGTTACCATCGATTTTTAAATGGATGTTTCGATCAAGGTATAAGATCTGCAACTGGGAGTTAAACGACAAGTTTGCGGCAAAACCTGTGAAGTTATTGTTTGATAAATCAAGAACCTGAAGGGTTTGAAGCTTGTTGAGCGTTGCCGGAAGCGAGCCATTTAACTTGTTCGAACCTAAAATAAGTTGTGTTATCCTTCGAAAACCATCAAAACAGTTATTTATCTTTCCTTCGAATCTATTACCATACAGGAGTAGCTCGTAAATATTTGGATTAGTTTTTCCAAAATCATTTGGTATTGTGAGTAATGTCCAATACAGGCATCTGATGTCTGATGGTGAAGATGGTGTACGGTGGTGTAATATGGTTGAAGTGTGTCAGATGGTTGTCAGATGGTGTATGATGGTATATGATGGTCGAAGTGTGTCAGATGGTTGTCAGATGGTGTATGATGGTGTATGATGGTCGAAGTGCGTCAGATGGTTGTCGGATGGTGTATGATGGTGTAGGGTGGTTATGCAGGGAAGGGTTGTCAGATGGTGAAGATGGTACAGATGGTGTATGATGGTCGAAATGTGTCAGATGGTGTATGATGGTGTATGATGGTCGAAGTGTGTCAGATGGTTGTCAGATGGTGAATGATGGTGTATGGTGGTTATACAGGGAAGAGCTGTCAGATGGTGAAGATGGTACAGATGGTGTATGATGGTCGAAATGTGTCAGATGGTTGTCAGATGGTGTATGATGGTGTAGGGTGGTTATACAGGGAAACGTTGTCAGATGGTGAAGATGGTACAGATGATGTATGATGGTCGAAATGTGTCGGATGGTTGTCAGATGGTGTATGATGGTGTATGATGGTCGAAATGTGTCAGATGGTTGTCAGATGGTGTATGATGGTGTATGATGGTCGAAGTGTGTCAGATGGTTGTCAGATGGTGTATGATGGTGTAGGGTGGTTATACAGGGATGGGTTGTCAGATGGTGAAGATGGTACAGATGGTGTATGATGGTCGAAGTATGTCAGATGGTTGTCAGGTGGTGTATGATGGTGTACGATGGTCGAAGTGTGTCAGATGGTTGTCAGATGGTGTATGATGGTGTAGGGTGGTTATACAGCGAAGGGTTGTCAGATGGTGAAGATGGTACAGATGGTGTATGATGGTCGAAGTGTGTCAGATGGTTGTCAGATGGTGTATGATGGTGTATGGTGGTTATACAGGGAAGAGCTGTCAGATGGTGAAGATGGTACAGATGGTGTATGATGGTCGCGGGGTGTCATTCGCTGTAGGATGCTTATATTAGATATTACATTGCTATATTTTATACTTACATACACTTTAGCCAACTATGGTATGTGTATAAAAAATATGTTATATCTAACATTGCGGTTCTCGTGTGGGACGTAATTCAAAGTATTTGGCAAAATATATATTTAAACACATTTGACAGACATGTTGGACGTAATAAATAAAATTATAATATGAATATATGATATTTCGATCACGTTGCGGTTCTCATGTGGGAAACGCAATTTAAAGTATTTGGCAAAATATATTAAAACGCATTTGGCAGACATGTTGGAGGTAATGAATAAAAATATAATATGAATATATGATATCTCACAATGCGGTTCTCATGTGGGAAAGGTAATTCAAAGTATTTGCCAAACTTGGCAAAATATATTTAAACGCATTTGACAGTCATAATTACAGTTCGAGGTAACAACTAACAAATAAAAATATAATATGTATAGGTTATTTTGAGGCAACGAGGGGATATGTGATTTATTCACCGAGGCGCGCAAAGTACTTATTCTTCACACTGCGAGGTCGCGTTAATGAGTCAGAAAAGAAATAATTCTTAATGCCATTTTGCCTTCGCGATGTTGTTTTTTCTCATTTTTGTGCTGCAAAGACATTGCAGGTGAATATTAGAGGGGATTATTAATTGCAGGTGAATATTAGAGGGATTATTAAGCGGAAATTGATTAGAGGGGAATATTGAATATATTCCCCGACAAGAACAAAGGAAACCGAGCAGGGTGAAAAATAAGAATATATATGATATCTCACAATGCGGTTCTCATGTGGGAAACGTAATTCAAAGTATTGGGCAAAATATCACATTTGACAGAGATGTTCGAGGTAACTTAAAATTGAATTTTGCTGCGACATATCACGCGGCGTTGACAGAAAAGTCTTCATTGTAGGCTTTTATTTCTACAAGCAACAGTTTCTTACTGTAATAACACCAATTCGGTTGGATAGATTTACTGTATAGGGGCGTCATGTTTGAACTCTATTGTATGTAAGGGAAATAGACGACTAGTGTATGGGAGAAATTTTGAGGCATCCAAGGGAGACATTTATCTCATAAATCAAAGAGTTGAAATTTGAGACGGCTTCCGTTTTTGTGTTCGGGTCATTAACTATGCTATATTGGTTTATAGCGCCCTGGTTGAATGTCCAAAACTTCGTAAGTAGATTTACAGCCATGCCTTCGTTTACCGATAACAATCGTTTTGGCACTGTGAAGGTAGCCGCGGATTGGCCCCCAGATTCGGCCTTAGATTGGACCTCACATTCAACTGTATTCAATTATTCAAAAGTAGATTATTTGAACCCCTTTTCTGGCTACTTTTAAGGTATTTTTTACTTTAAATTAGCAGTAACATGAGCGATGCAAACTCCTGCACCATATAGCTGAGTTTCGAAACAATTAGGGAGGCCGATTTTGTATAAACGCTTGCTGAATATAGATGTTAGCACAGTCTAACATTTAATATATAAACAAAAGAAATGAGTGTAATTCTATAAACAAATTAAAGCAATAAGCACCTTATTAATTAATCCTTGCCGTTTTATGTATATTTTATTTATTTACTAGCTTTGTCATTAATGATTGGTGATCCCTACAGGGCTTATTGCCCCATTCTCGACAAAGGACGACACGATCGAGTGACATTTAACACAGCCAGTTTTAAACGATTGTGCTACATTAATGTCAAATATAATGGACGTTGGTGAGATGGTACCCCAATTTGCTTCACTTCATTAGAAAGAGCATGAAATACTGCACAATATGTTGAGTTTCACAAAAATTAAAAATACAGATCTTGCGGAATATAGATGTTCGCACGATGTAATTCTATAAACAAAAGCAATTACCACCTTATTAATCCTTGCCGTTTTGAAATTGGTGATTGTGCCCCAATTTGCGGTACATCATTGGAAAGAGCATGAAATAGCCTACTGCATAATTTTGGCGAATTTTGGTAACCGTTTTATCTACCGTTGCCGTGGTTTTGAAAGTAGTCTTACGCCCGTATTCTAAAAGCTCACTCACACTCAATGAGTGGAAGTTCATTCTGAGCTTCTCTCGAGTGTCATTGCTGTTTTTGAATAGCTGGAGGGTTAGTGTCGTACCGTTAGAATAGAATTTTATTTGCACTCGAGAAAAAAAAAAAAAAAAAATGACAAGATTATTACAATAAAGTGAGAACGGTGCTGGGGAATTAGAGTAACTAAAGTTTTCGTGCCAATTCCCCATAAGAACTATATACAACAATGAATTAAATATGGCAAATAATAATACAAAAAAAAATAAATTTAGAAATGTATATAGAAATATAATAAACAGATATATACACACATACTGTACATTAACATCACACACAATAGGTTTGATTTGATTTGATTATAGTAAGTAAACATTTTATATTAGGAATAGGTATCAAGGCAATTCTTTTTAATTCTTTTTATTAGAGATTTCCTAGATAGTAATTTGTCTTGATTATCAAGAGAACTCCAGATTTTTATTCCAGAAAATTTTAATGAGAATTTTCCTGAGTTACTAGAAACAGATGGCAAATGAAAGTTATGGGTTGAATATCGAGTATAATGTTGATGTATTTCTGACGAGTGTGTAAAATAATTAGAAAATGCTACTGGTAACCTATTATTAAAGTAATCGTACATAAAAGTACATTTTTGGGTGTAAACAATGTCTTTTACTTGAAGAATACCTAGTAATTTGTAGATAGGTGGAGCATGGGATCGAGGTTCGGAAAAAGTCATGATCCTGACAGCTTTGTTGTTTAAAATGTTTAACTGATTAAGACGAGACTGGTACGTATTTCCCCAGATAATTGCCCCATTATAAAGGTAAGGATATATTAGGGAGTAATAAACATTTTTTAGTGTGTCAAGATCAACATAGTGACGTAATTTTGAAATCATGCCAATATTCTTGGAAAGTTTCTTACATATAACGTTTATATGAAATTTCCAACTCAAGTTTCTGTCAAGAAGGACACCCAGATATTTAAAAAATTCTGACTGCTCTAGTGAAGAGCCATCTAACTTGATATTTGGAATATAGTGAAATTGTTTCCTAACGGATGAAAATATCATAAATTTCGATTTTTTTATATTTAGCGATAATTTATTTGCTTTAATCCAATTGGTAAGTTTTTCTAATTCAACATTAACTATTGTGGTTAAAGTTAGTATATTACTATTTTCCAAAAAAGCATTAGTGTCGTCTGCGAACAACCGCAATTTTAAAATATTGCTGCAATTCGAGATGTCATTAACATAAATAAGAAATAATAGTGGGCCTAAATTTGAACCCTGTGGAACTCCACAGTTTGTTTTAATAGTGTTTGAGAGTGTTCCATTAAGGTCTACAAATTGTGAGCGATCCGTTAGATAGGTTCTAAACCAATGTAACGCAACGCCACGAATACCATAGTGCTCCAACTTGGAAAGGAGAATCGTGTGGTTGATAGTATCAAATGCCTTTGAAAAATCAATAAATATTCCACAAGTATAAAGCCCCTTATCCATGGCATTAAGAATATTGTCAATAATTTCAATTAATGCCAACGTTGTTGAATGATTTTTCCGAAATCCAAATTGGTATTTGCTTATAATGTCCTTTTTATTCAAATATGATAATAGTCGTTTGCACATTAATTTTTCTA